ACTTTATAAAAATGGAAAGTTTTACAAAACTTTATATTAAAGTTTTAATATAAAGCTCCTTATATTAAAATAGTTATTCATGGGTAAGGAGTCTTAAATTACCTGAGTAAAAGGAAGAATGTCATCACAGAAGGATTGCTGCTGAAAGCTATCCTCTGCTTCTTTTCCCAGACATGCCTCATCTTTCACTATATATCTGAGAAATTTGAGTCTGTTTTGGGAAAGCCTCTTAAAGAACAAAATTGTTGAAGGAAGAAAAGAAGCCACAAGAATCATGAGGATAGCAAGAAAAATTGGTACAAGCAAGTTGCACATGTTTAAGACCTGGGCTTCCACTTCTTTTCACAGCCTGGGAGTAGCATTCCTCAGCAACTTTCAGGTCTTCATAAAATTGAGCATCTTTGCAAGATAAACTTGCTCTGGTTAAAATCAGCCCTTTCTGTTCTTTTAAGAGCCAAAATTCAAGATATGCATTTTTCTGCCAAAAACAGAATTGTCTATTAAATTATCTATGTAGAACAATGACAGTAAATGTTTGGGTAAACTGTGGGACATTAACAAGCTTTTATTGAAAATGGGACACATCGTTACTTTCTGCAAGCACAAAGGAAACACAATACCTTTGATTTATACCAAAAGGAAGAAACAACAAAGAAGCTCAAAAAAAAAAAGGGTAGCGGAGTATAAAAGTTGTAATGAAGCTCCTCCCCCTCACATTAGTGCTTCCACTCCTCAACATAACAGGGTATGATTAATACTTAAAGGTGGTTGTACATCTGAGAACTGGAAGAAAATATTACATAAAAATAGTTCGCTCCAAATATTCTTGGAGTAAATCAGTATCAAAGAAGTAGATATATTGGTATATGCACTCAATAGTAAATTTATAAACAAGCATTTATTTTTCCTCTACATGTAGAAAGTCAATTGAACATAGCAACCCTAAAACATATGAAATTAATTGTTTCTTCCAATTCACAAATATTATTATTCACACATATCATTTAATCATCCCATCAATGTTTATCAGACCCTTTCACATCACATGCAAAAAACAGAACAGCACTGTCTTATTATTGCTGTTCAAATAAACATATCACTAGCAAGTAAGGAAAGAAGGGCACAGAAAGAAGCAGCTAGCTTGCTATTGAGTCTAGAATTCAAAGAGTCTAGAATGGAATCAACTTAACAAAAATTGATAGAAAGCCTCCTGCAGGTAACTAAAAAATGAGACCTGCCTCTGGCTTTTTAGAGGGTTGGAAAAAAAAAATCCATAGATTTCTCAAGGGAGATCATAAGATAACTGAGTACAAAGTGCCATGAAGAATTCAAGCAGGGAAAGATATCTGGTCGCAGGGGGCTCTAGATGCTTTGTGAAGGAGATGGCACTGGACCTTGAAAAAATGTGGTGTGAGATTGTAAAGAAGGGATTCTAGGCAGCAAGCACAGCCGAAGCAAGGTCCTGGGGTCAGGGAGAGACGCTATCAGCTTCTTTCCTTTATTTCTACCTCAACCACAACAAACTCACAGCACCATTACTTCACATGCCCTTTCCACAGAGATGCCTTACCACTGTGATGAATGCTCATGTACATAAATCTTTTGTATATTCAGGCAATTATTCTGTAGGATGGAATGCTGGAAGTGGTTTTGCTGACTCATAAGGTTATGAACATATGTAATTTTAATAAAGACTACAAATTATTTTCTTAAAGACTTATACCAATGTACTCTCTCTCTAATAGTATAGCAAAGGCCCTTTTATCCATGCTATTTCCATCACTGGATATCATGTGTCTTATTAAGTTTTGCACATATGATGGTTTTTACTTGCTTTTTCTTCTTCATTACTAAGCCCAAGGATCTATTTACATGTTAAATGGCTATCTGAAATCCATAAGTTGTCTTTTCATGGCTATTCTTATTTGCTTTGCCATTTTGTTTGTCAATATTTATAGGCAAGTTTCTTTTGCTGACTGATTTGTAGTAGGTACTGGTTCGTTAGTGTTACTTTTCATTTTATGTGCTACACTTAACAGTCTTCCTCAAACTCCTCTATGCTCCCCCAGATGCCCTGACAATTTCTGCCTTTTAAGATACCTTTTACATTTCATAAGATTTTATGTAATCAAATATGTTGATGTTTTCCTTTAAACCTTCTAGGTTTTAGGTACTTTCTTAAGATATTTTCCTACTCTAAGATTATAAACTTATCTTTATGTATTTTTTTAAATCTTTAATATTTTCTTTTTTACATAGGAAACTGCAATCTATATGAAGTTTGTTTTTATATGGTGAGAATTAAGACTCCGACTTAATTTTCTTACAAACAGATAACTGTTTCAGCACCATTTAGTAGTAAAATCATCTTTTTTCTACTGGCATTTGAAATGCCACATTTATCCTGTATTATTAATATCTTACTCTCTGTTTTGTTTTAATTAGCAACTTACCTACACTTCTCACTCTTCTAGATCACAAAAATTATATGGACTTAAGGAAATTCAGGGTTCCAATTCTAATAAAAAGTCCTTATCTTAATTAATCGAAGCCAAAGTCAGTGACTTGGAAACACATATTCAGGGCTTCCCTTGTGTTTTGCAATCTGCCTCTGTTGCCAGCTTTGCTATACCCTCCTCAACAGTGCACTCTACGTGGCACATGGCAGGACACTAAGTAAATATTTGTTGAACCAGTTAATGTGCAACAGTGAGTTCAGCTTACTCAGATAAAAGTATATAATTTAACAGTCAGCATGTAATCAGCATCAGATTTCAGCTTATTCATGATAATTCCTAGAAAGGGCAAATGGTAGTTTGTATTACTGAAGGAATACAACTTCACTCTGCTACTAAAATAGCCTATCTCCCAGAAAACAATGTTACAGTGCAGTTGTTGGGCCCTTCATGGTGTTGACCACTCTACTCTCCCACTCTCCAAGACGGCTACTATGTACCTTATACTGTCTCCCCAAATCTCCGGAACCCTCCCCACCAGAAGAAAGCTTTCCCATCTTCCCACCACATTCCCATGTACCTCCCTTCCCTCCTGTTAGAAGAAATGTTCTTGATTAGGACAACCCCCCCACTCTCACAGCTTACTTACTCAAGACTTTTTCATCACCTCTTTCCTGCGCCATTCCTCTCTTCTAAATCATTATCATCATACAAACTGTAAATATCTTTATCTTAAAAAAAAAAATCCTTCTTGTTGGCCCACATCCCTTTCCATCTACCACCACCACATTCCCCTTTCCCCTCTATAGCAAAATTCCTTGAAACAGTGCCTGTAGTAGCTGTGGTGTTTTGCTCTCCACTTTTCTTCTCTTGTACATAGTCCAAGCTTTACTCCCCACCGCCCCTCTAGATTTATGATTGGGGTCTTCACTAACATCCACATTGCCAAAAATTACAGTCGGTTCTTACTGCTCAGCTTACAGCCTCTGTCAGCAACATGTGACACAATTGATTACTCTGTCCTTAAAATAATTTCTTTACTTGGCTTCAAGGACACCCAATTCTCATGTTTTTTTTCACGTATTACTGGTTGCTCCTTCTCAGTCCCCTTTGATGGATTCTCCCCATCTCTCTGATTTCTACATGTAGGAGTGGCCTAGGACTCAGTCCTTGAAACTCTAGGTAATATCATCTAGTCAACACCTTAAATATCTTGGAGACTCCTAAATTTGTGTTCACCATACACAATCAGCCCTAAACTCAAAACTCTTATACTATACACTCAACATTTTCACTTGGATGTCCAATCAATATAGCAACATCAACATGGTCAAAATCAAAATAAAATGAAACAACAGAAACAGCAAAACCCTCCCCCTCTTTCTCCAGCCTCCAACCATTCAGCTGCCACCCTAGCCAGGCACCCATTAGCTCTTGTCTCAGTTACCCTAAAAACCTTCTAGCTGGTCCCTACTTCTATTCTGCAAAAATCCCTCTCCCCTAGTTCTATTCTTCACAAGTAGTTCTCATGATTCCCTTAAATTATAACAGGCTATGTAACTTCTCTACTCAAAATTTCCAGTGGTTACTCATCAATTGGAATAAAATCCAGTATCTTTCCATAGCCTATAAAGTTGTGAACTAAGACCTCCCTATCTGTCCAACCTTATCTTTTACCAAGACCCCATCACTCACTCCTTTCCAGCTAAGACAGACTATCCTACAAATACATAAATAAAATGGTGCCTTGCTCTGCTTCATATACACATCAAACTAATTTCTACCTCAGGTTCTCTGAATTTGTTCCTCCCTCTGCTTCAAACATTGTCTCTGTAGATATCTGTATAGCATGATTCTCATTTAAGTCTCTGCTCAAATACTACCTTCTCTCTATTTTTTATCTCAGTGTATTTTTCTTCACAGTACTTAATACAGTCATCCTTCTGCACCTATGGAGATTGGTTTCCAACCCCAGATAGCAAAATCCATGGATATTCAAGTCCATGATATAAAATGACGTCATGTTTGCGTATAACCTATGTACATCCTCCTGTATACTTTAAATCATCTATAGATTACTTATAATTACTTATAATATCTAATACAATATAAATGCTATGTAAATACTTGTTATACTGTTGTATTGTTTAGGAATAATGACAAGAGAAAAAAAGTCTGTACATTGTCAGTACCAGACACAGCCATCCTTTTTCTTTCCAAACATGTTCAACCCCTGGTTGGTTGCATCCATGGATGTGAAACCCACAGACACAGAAGGCTGACTGTACTACCTTACATTCTATTACATATTTATTATCAGACACCTTAACTAGAATGTAAGTTCTATGAAAGCATGGATTTTAAAAAGTTCACTGTTGTATCTTCAGAACCTAGAAGAGTGCCTGACACATGATAGGTACTTATATTTGTTGAAGAAATGAGTAAACAAATGAGCAAATATAAAGTTTGTCTATGAATGTGGCTTAATGATCCTAGCTTAATACATAATCCAAGAGGAAAAAACTGTTTTTAAGCATTACTCACTTTTCGTTGTTTTACTGAGTCCAATTTTATGAGCCAATATGAAGCCACTTTGGTTTTATGATACTTCCAGTTATCGATGATCTGTTTGGGGGGACAGACATTAAGAAATTTTATCTAGAATGGTCATCAAAAGAAATAATAAGTAAATAAACAGGTTAAAACCCATTTTTAAATTAATTTGTGTAAAAGCACTATAATGTTACTTGCAACAAATAATGCCGGCTTTCATAAAAAGATGTGCAAAGATTTCGAATACAAATTAAAGAATCCATCTACATCCAAAGTTTTCTATTCTAGTTGTATTAAGAATACAATATCTGTGGCTTACACCTGTAATCCCAGCATTTTGGGAGGCCGAGGCAGCCAAATCACTTGAGGCCAGGAGTTCAAGTCCAGCCTGGCAAATATGGCAAAACCCCGTCTCTACTAAAAATATAAAAATTAGCTGAGTGTGGTGGTGCATGCTTGTAATCCAAGCTATTTGGATGGCTGAGGCATGAAAATCACCTGAATCCAGGAGGTAGAGGTTGCAGTGAGCCAAGATTATACCCCTGCACTCCAGCCTGGGGCAGCAGAGTGCGACTCTGTCTCAAAAACAAAAACAAAAAATCTCTAATGAATGAAAGTCAAATGTCTCTAGGCACATGAGATTTGGGAAGAAATCCAAGACATAGATTTTTCATTTTTATTTTAGAGGCTGATTTATGACATCACTCATAGTAATAAAATATTGAATAATACATTAGAAGGCACCTATATAAAATGAGGATTCTGCAACTTTGTTTTTTCTGCAAGTCTGTAAAAGTTCTGAATATACAGTCTTGTAATATATACTGTGGCAAACAGATTAAAATATTTACCACATATAGTGAATATACAGTAAACAATTTGGTGTCTGACATAATTATTAACTATATTTTATTAATTATATAAGCCTATATACATTCTTTATAGAACAATCACGATAGTCACAAATATTAGTTTTACTCTCTGATAGTTTAACTTTCTTCTACTTTATTCAAAAAGATGGGATATAACTAATATCTCTAAGAAATACATAAAATAAAGTGGTACAAAGTCATTGGCTATATGTAGAAAATAACTTTATCAAATAAGATAACATAGGTAAATAAAAGCACATCTAGCATAATACTTTACACCCAATGTTTTCTTTCATTTCCTTTGATGTAACTTAAGTAGCAGCTAGCTTGCAAACAAGTTACCATTTTCACTTTTTAAAAATATATATAACACAAAATGTATAATATTTGGGGGCTTTGCCTATGACTGTGTCATCACTACATAATATGAATTGCAGTCATGGGTATTTTTCAGCAAGAAAGTCTCTTTTGTGTTTGTTTATTGCTGTTGTTGTTGTTTCTACAGGCTTACTTTAGTACAGGTCTAAAGTATATGCAAAAAACAAAAAGGCCAAGTGCATGGCTGTGGCTTTTATCCCACAACTGGCCACTAGATGGTGTACCTCCCCTAGAAAAAAAAATTATATATATATATGTGCATATGCATGTCTCCCAAAAAACAAGGTTCTATTATCTAAGAATGAAAAGGATGTTTGAATGAAGAAATGTAACCTCAGGCAAAGAAATGCTTTCACCAAAAATAACTGCAATAACTTGGACCTTCTTTCTAAATTAAGTCAATGATCTTAATGTGAATTTTAGGACCCTTTGCCATTTTAGAATGTTCCACTTGGTGGTGCACATGTGTGTGTAATGAGAAAAACACACAACTCCGCATAAGTCATTTCAAAATCTGACCCCAAAAATGTGACATCTGAAGTGTCACACTCAACTATTCTTGACATTTTATTTCAAGGCCCCATGCTTTTCATCATACTCCATTCCATATTAGTTCATTCTAAGTCTTTACAGAAGCAGGTTTAACATGATATTTGCTTAATCATTAAGAACAATAATTATTTAACACTAATTATTCTCACTTAATGAAGCAGATTTATCACTGAAACAGCACTACATACTACAAGATATTTTATACCAATGATTATAATCTGATCTCACTGTTCATGAGTTGTAATAATTAAAATAAACCCTTGTATTTTCTAAAGCTAGTAGAGGTTGAAAAGAACATCAATTAAATTTACTATGTCATTGAGCATAATGCCTTCATAAAATAAATTTTAATATTTTAAGAAGAATAAAAAGGTACCAGCTCCTTGGCATTTTAGATACATCAGATACTCACATCTTCTATCAGAAGTTCTGATTCTGCATCTGACTTTCCTGGAAACCGGATCTTCATGTCCTTGAGAACAAATAAGGTCTGACTTGTTAGATCATCTTCTTGTTCTTTTGTTTTCAGTTGCCGCAAAGACTCACTCTTAAATTTGAAAGAATACAGATATTTGGAGGGGGTCTTATTTCATTGTGCCAGTATAATCTGAAAGATATTTCTAGGTAAAAATGATGCACTTTTAATCGAAAACAATAACAATGAAAAAGGAAGAAAATTTTCTTTTACACTTGTGAATTCTCTGGATTAAATGGATACAAATCCCAAGAGTGTCCTTCACACTTCCACAAGGTTTACTTATTTAGCTCAAAGTACTAAAATAAGAATATAAATACTTAAAAGGGACTTCCTGGTCAGTCTCATTTGCTACATATACCTTAAGCAGTTTTTGTTGATTAGAAAAAAAAATTCATTGTTATCAAGTGAAATTAATTCACTTATATTTCCTGACTTCCCTTTGGAAACATAATCCATATTAAATAAACAAATTAACTAAATCCCTAGTCTGTGTGAAGGTAATTAGAGCTATCTGAGCATCTAAAAGTCAGCCTTCTTACAAACTACATTCACTACTTTCTGTGTACCAAATCTCTGGGACTCTGCGAACAATGGAATACTATATGTTAATTTAATATACAGAACACATTATAAATAGCATTATACTTAAGTGCTCTAAGGAGAATTTATCATTTTTTAACCTATTAATCAACTGTCACATTAAGTAAAATTTTCCAAATTTCCTCAAATTTAAAGATAGGCTGCACAATATACTGCAAAACCACACATTTACTCAGGAAATTTTCAATAATGTTATCCTACTATATCAGCAAATGGAAAATAAAATAACGCTATTCTTAGTGTTCATCTTTGAGTTATGTGATAAAGTCTGAACCTTTTAAAAGTCATACTAAATTGTAAACTAAGATAGGTGAACAATCCAAATTCCAAGAGGTCATGAGTTGAATTATGGAAAGGATCTGAGGTTCAGTCTGTCCTCCTCTCAGCTGATCCCCTTTGCCACCTAGATTCTGAATACAGAGCTCCCTGTAGTCTTAAAAGAGCAAAACAGATGACCTACCACTTGAGAGTTGGTAGAGCAGGCATCATGACTGTGAGGCAGATGCCTCATGTAGGAGGAAGCACGGTTTAAAGAATGTGACCGAGATGCAGAAGTTGGCCGTGACACAGATATCACTTGTTGAGCAGAAAATGGGCGGGTGTCCCCACTGGAAGGTGACTGAGCAGAGATGGACCGAGGACAACTGACTGAACGCCTTATGGAGCCTATCAGAGATGGAGAAGAAGGATACTACAGTAGCAGTATTAATACAAGTTTTTCACTATATTCAGTTTATATAAACTAAAGATTAGAGCAGCTGGTAGCGGAGCAGCAATAAACGTCAAAGCGTAGGCATCATCTTGAGAATATGAGTTTGGAATACATTTTTCAACAACAGTGAACTTGTTGCAGAAGACCCCTTGTGATGTATAAAAAATGGCTCTTGTGGGAATAATACTATAAACAATCCTTCAACATTTTATCCTCGAAACATGAGATTAATGAACCAGAAGAAAGGAAAATTAACATTTATGGAGCACCTTCTATAAGCCAAGCATTGTGCTAGGTACTACATTTTTATCTTAGTCCTCATGGAAACCCTCTGAAGTAGGTATCTCCATTGCCCAGAGGCTCAGAGAAAGAACTTTTTCAAGGTCATACAGCAAGAAAGTGGTCAAGCTCAGGTTTCAATCCTGACCCTATCTAATCCCAGTGTCTTCCCTTTTTCTATAATACCATGAGGCTATCCACTATCCCTTGGGATTTGACTGGTCACTTATAAGTCTGTGTATGGGTTTGAGATTGACTAATTTACATGAAGATTCATAGAGAGGGTTGTAAAGGAGTATAGAGGGTGGGCAGGCTAAATAGGTAAGTTACAGAATTTAGAACCCATGAAAAAAAAAGAAAAGAAAAATATACGGATTATCCTAATGCAGTTTAAATACAGAATCTGTTATTATAAATAGTACTGAGCAGAGAGTATTCTAATTCACAAGAGTAAAGAATTTCTTTTAAGTAGGTTAAATTCCAGTAGTAAAAGACTTAAGTGAAGGAAAAAACATATGGCTCCAAAGGGTTGTTATCAGAACAAATATCTAGGGGAAACCATAAAATATCTTCCCGAATGCATAATAAGAACATCAAAGAAAGAAAACCAACTGTTCTAGATAAATTTTTACTCCTGACACAGGGAAATAGATCACCACTCAATACTGTCAATATTTTTATCTTTTTTCAGCTCATATGGTCTATACATCCTCTGTTGTATATTCTTTCTCTGCTTGGGGAGTATATCTTCATTAATTAAATAATGTAGTAAAACTCACATGAAGTCAGGTTGAATACCCAAATATTTCTCTTCATTAGCTGTTGAAAAAAATTTAAACCTTTATAAGGGAATAGATATAAACCTTATATTTAGAGACGTACTTCCAAATTAAATTTGAGAGAGTACAAAAAGGTATGCTCATTAAAGCTATAAAATATTTTTTTAAACCCTTCTCTTTGTTCCAACATTAACTTCCTTCTTAACCTGAAACTCTCGCCACTTTTCAAAAGGACACTGCTTCTGTGTTTCTAGAGAAGGGGAGAAGGGCCATGTGAGGAACACACCACTGGTCAATTTTTTTTTTTTTTTTACAAAAAATTGCACATATTTAATGTGCACCAAGATCAAATTTAAACTAAGAAAATACCCAAGGCATGTGCTAGTAACTGCACTGTAGTCCTACTACCTTTGAGGACTTATGGTAATGGTTTGGTTGTATATAACCTGATTGCTGGGCAGAAGGAAAATCTCCTTTTCTTGAATCATCACAGGTTTCTTTTTTTTCCTACACATGCTAGAAATTCAGACAGAATAACTAAGTAGCTAGACATGCCAATGATGTTTGAGTAGATTCACAAAAAAATCATTGCAACTTGCATATCCTCTGAAGCTGCAACAAGCTGGAATTTTTCAAACTATCTACAAGAGAAAGTGTTACACATAATCTGGATTTTGTCCTTGATCATCAGCATCACTCTGGAGACAAAACTCAAGCAGGATTTGTGGCTAAAATGCTTCTTAGTAAGATTAAAGAAAGAATATAAAACAAAGTGAAAGACTTGTTGCAATTCCTCGTGAATATAAAAAGAAAATATAACTAATAAAAAAGATATTTATTAAATTAGGCTAGATTTAAAATGAAAATTCACACTTAAAAAACATTTTAAAAATCTGTATATTTTAGTGCACCATTGCCTGGTCTCAATTTGTTAACCTATTGGTCTGAGAAAAAAGAACAATCTCAGCGCTGTAGGAATGTTAGCAAATTTTTCTCCAACCTGTCCTCATCCCCGATCAGTTCATGCCATTAGGGAGGTACACACCAGCTGATAGGAAAGGGAATTAAAACTGACCAAATTTGGGAGTAAAAATGTCAGCTTCTAAAACCAACACAGAGGCATACTTACACAAAGACACACTGGAAGTATTTAAGGAATCCTTAAGAAAAAAAGAAGCAAGTGATAAAATAGCTTACAAACTGTGTAATTGGTGCTCAACAAACATTTCTTAAATGCATGAGTAAATAAATAAATGAAACAGAACACAATACATCAATTCCCCTCCAAAGACAGAAACCATGAAAGATATGAAGTAGTAGCATATTTATTTAGAGAATAATGTGTAAACAAAGACCATTCCTCTAAAAGCTTCATCTGTCGGTTCTTTATTCTTCATGCATTTTGCCATAACTGTTTAAGGCTAGTTTTAAAATAACCACGTTATCAGGGAAGTTAACATATTAAATACATTGCTGAGGGTCAACAAGGGCTCACAACTGTGTTCACTGCATTATTGAACTGGTTCCTTTAATGGAACCCTAGGACAGTGGAGCACAAGGCAAATAGAGATATGAAAGACAAGGGTTCAGAAAAGTCTTGGATTGGAGGCAGCATCAAGAATGGGTTTTCCAGTTGAATCTAGGCAAACAGCAATCCCACACTGGACATTTGGGGATGAAAGAAAACTCACAGACAAAATATTGCACATTTGGAACTGAAGAATAAATTGAAGATGAGACAAAGAAAGACACAGAGAATGTAAAAAGAAATACAGGTAGAAGGAGAGAAAAGAAAGCAGGAAAGGAAGGAGATGGAGCAGCTGGTTGACTGCTCTCCTAAGTACTTCCTACACATCATAAGCCCTGACTTAAGTGTTCACCTGTGATGAAAATGGGAGGGAACAAAAGTTCAACTATTTTACAATTATGTGACTTACAGAATCATTCAAGTAAAATGCCTAGCAAGACACATACTTATATATATAAAAGTGACAGTATAAAACAAAGTGGGTGAAAAAAGTAGAGAGGTAGAAATTAAATGAGAGAGAATATATTGGCTTAAAAGACATGTAATCATCAGATTAACCATGAGGCACATTTTACAAAACCCAGGCAAAAATCTGGCACCTAACAAAAATGATGAAATATAGAAGAATAGATTCTTAATTCAGCCCTTTCGTTTTCTATTTGCAGATCTTCAAAGGGATTAAGGGATGTGCCTGAGTCTGTTTAGGGAAAGGAAGTAAGATGGAATCCAGGTCTTCTCACACACAACAGGGTTCATTTGGCCCAAGGACCTTTTATTGAGTTTAATAATTTCAGTTTCATAATTCTTGATATAACATCTAAATTAGAAGAAATTGACTTACTGGGTTGCTGAATTAATTTGTAGTGGTTGGAGGGTTTAAGATTATATGTAACTTGCTTTTCTCTTTTCTTATTTTGGTACTCTTCTTTTTCATTTTCGTCAGATTCTGAAGAGCCGCTGTTACTATCATAACTGCTGTCACTGCTGCAGTACTTCTGTCTTTTCATTATCTCAGTACTCTCAGGCATAGAACACAGAGGCTAAAAAGAGGGGTATGTGTTATTGTTTTAAGAATTCTTTAAAAAGGCTTATTCATATGATTAGTTACTATTTCTAATTTCCCCCTTATGCTTGCTGCTTTTTACTGAAGTTGAGAATCTCCCCAAATGCTCCTGCTGCCATGCTGCTTAACCTACAGTGCTATGCATTGATTGTTCTGTTTCTGCAAAATATTATTTCTTAAATGACATAGTCATGATGAGGAATGTGCTGTTCCTACATGATTGGAATAAAGGGTCGGAGTATCTGTAAACAAAGAATAACAAAATAAAGGGAAAATATTTGAGATAAAAATATAAAAATCAGAAACATAATCAGCTTTTCTTCATTCCATAACAGAAATTACTCATCAAGACTCAGAGATACACCTTTGCCATATCATTAACATTCAGAGTCACTCAATAAATGTGTGCAAGTGCATCTGTGGGGCCAGGGTGGGGGGGAGGGGAAAGAGGGGCAAGAAGGATAAAGAGAATAAGAAAGAAGGAGCCAGAGAAACCACTTTATAAATAAGGCCACATACCAAAACATTGTCTGTTAGCCTATCCACTCAGATAATGTGCTGCAAGAAATTAGGTATCCCTTACATGACTAACTGGCTGTGGATATTTATAAAAATAAAATTTGTAGTTAATTTAGTTAATTGTCCACTTCCTAAACTGGTCAGGAACAACTGATGTCTTTTCTCAGAGTATTCCTAACTCTGACATATAGGTTCTCGCCATAATAGGCTGACAAAACTTCTCACTGCCCATGCTACATTTTAAAAATTAATAATATAATATGAAGGTCAGTATGGCTAAATTTTCATGGAGGAAGGACAAATTCCTCTAAGATAGAAGGGAAAATCTGTAAAGATTGAAAATGCCATGCTGTCATGTGCCACCATCCCTATTAGAATCACTTGTTTCTAGTCCTCCCAATCAATGTGTTTCCAATGATGCCAGCTGAAGGAATGGAAGAAAAGGGACATGGGACAGCTTCACTTCAGAAAGAATGTGCATAACCAAGAACAAGACAGTTTTATAACTCAGTCATTTTAAGAAACTATTTATTACACACACCATATTCCTCCTATTCCTGACGGGAGAGGTTCCTTCAGTTGTATACTAGTTGCTTGTTCTCTGTTAAATCAAACAAAAAATGTTTTGATGTTAGCATACACTATAATGAAATCCTTGGAGAGCATGGGATTTCACTGAAAGTAGGTATACCCTCTAGTGTAACAGTGTAGAATAAAAGACAAAGAGAGAAATAGCATTTCATGAAGTACCTGGAATACACAGTAAGCCAAAAAACATCATCTTCTTAAATTTATAGCCTTTGCAAAGGATGAAAAATAACCAAAGCAGCAAAGTAGTTTAATTCAGTAAGGTACCAACTTGCATTTAAAAGTATGTGCTCCTTCTGATGGTCTAATATTTACTAAGTACTGACAATGTTCAAAGAGATATGCATAAAAACATTTACCAGTAACATAATCATCAAACATTTTGACAGTCTTAAGGAACATGAATTCTAGAGGAAAGTTGTTTCCTCAGAAGTTTAGCATACCCAGAAGAAACAGTGGCATAATCAGGCTTGCTAGTAGTGCCTTCCTTCATGTAGCAAACAGGTTTAAGTTTTCTTAAAGAGCCTGACTACATAATGAGTTATTTGACCCTATAAAGTATCACAAGGGGAAATGTATAGCTGAACCTTTATGTCTTATATGCACTTGGGACTTTTTGACCAATACACTGTTCAAGCAATAATTAACTAGAAGTCACAGCAACATGAACTCTACACAGTGTCTTTACTACAAACTGGAATTTATAAACTGGCATTGAGTTATGGCATATCACCTATATTTTAGGTCCAATTTTATTATGAAGTAGGCCATATGTTGAAAATTTATAAATGTATAAAGAATAAACAACCACATGCCTGTCACCCAACTTAATAAAAAGAACATTGCTATTATTTTACTGCAATTACTTTTGCACCAACCTAATACTTTATGTGGTATTTATTTTTATGTAGCTAGTTGATGTTTCTTATATTCTCAAAATAGTGAAAAGTTGTTATTTCTCCTATTACAAGTACCAGTTTTATTTAATTTTTATTATCTCCAATTATTCTACCAGTAAAGACACTGGAAATTAATGTTTTGTGTATGATATTGTCTCTCTGAAAATGAATGGCTGCTTTGAAGTTTGGCTCACTTTAGACCCTTGGTAAACAACATAAAGTTAAAAGTTATAAAAATGCTTCTAGTTCAAACTGATTATGCAGACTTCAACTTCGAAATATAGCTGGCTTCAACAACTACAGGAAATAACTAGTTCATTTCATTTCAACAAACACATTGTTAATTCCCACAACTTGCCTAGAATGAAAGGGGCTGAAAAAATTAGACAAAGTGAATTCTTCCTCCCAAGAGGTTATAGTTTTGTTTGGATGACAAGCCTTATATAAATGAAACACAGGAAAATATAAGACAATATACAGCTGTCTTAAGGCTTCTGCATTTGCCATTCTGCCAGAAACATTGTGCCTCCAGGATATCTCATGTCTGGTTTGCTAAACAGCAATAATTAATATACAAAGCTTAGGAACTTCCAGTGTTTCCCCAAATGATGCCATAACTCATGCAAGTATTCACTTTTACAGATACTCTAAAATATATTTCTTCCAAAGGAAGTATCAATGACATATTCCACAATGCCTCAATATACAGCACATAATTCAGAACGGTCCCTGACATCCAAGATCTCCACCAGGTAAGTATCTCTTACCAGGCCCACCTGTATCATTTCACTGTCCAAGAACGTTCCACTTGAGTCATACCAAACTTTTCATGTTTCTACAACATCCTATACAGTATCATAACTTCATGTCTTTGCCTTTAGTGTTCTGTCTATCCTAAATGTTCTTCCACTTCTCTTAATGCTTAAAGCACTACTCATTTTTCAAGATCCAGTTCTAATAGTATTACCTTTCTGAAGCTATCCACATGCTACCAACCCCTTTCTTCTCTATGCTGCTGTGGCACTTTACACTCCCTTTATTATAGTAGTTGCCACATTATCCCGTTTTTTTATTTACCTGTCTGCTCTTCCACTAGCCAATGAGATTCTTATGGATATATTTAACAAAATGAACTAACAGATTTTGAAAACTTACTGTGTGTCAGACACTGGATAGGTTCTAGAGATACAAAGATGAAAATCTACTTGCTACCCTCAGGGAACTTACAACCTCATACTTAGGCAAATGTGCAAATAATTACTTGTCACAACTGCTGTATAAAAGTGTTATTTATGAAACAGCAGGAGAAAGAGGGAAGGGAAGGTCTAAGCCTAACTGGGGAAATGAGGGAAGGTTTCACACAGGCAGCAGTGGCTCTGCTGAAATAGGAAAGGGCCTCTAATCAAACAACAAGTCAATGATTTTTTCTTTAGTAGGAAGGCATTTCAGAAGCATGAAAATATGAAAGAACATGACATGTCTAAGGACACAGGGATAGTATAGTAATTCTGAAATATAAATGGAATAAAATAAAAATTACAAGATTGTTCAAATCAAACTCCTTCCTATTCTACTAGCAAGACTTTGACATATCAGAACAACAACACTGGATGCAGTGGCTCACGCCTATAATCTTAGCACTTTGGTAGACAGAGGCAGGAGAATTGCCAGAAACCGGCAGTTCAAGACCAGCCTTGGCAACACAGCAAAACACCACCTCTACAAAAAAAAAAAAAAAGAATTTTTTTTTAGTTAGCCAGGCATGGTGGTATATGCCTGTAGTCCCAGCTACTCAGAAAGGCTGAGGCAGAAGGATCACTTGAGCCCAGGAGTGTGAGACTGCAGTGAGGTATGAACACACCACTGGGCTTTAACCTGGGTGACAGAGTGAGACCTGTATCTAAAAAAAAAAAAAAAAAAAAAAAAAAAAAATTTTAAAAAAAAAAAAAAAAAAAAAAAAAAAAAAGAATATGTAGATGTCACCTACATGACAGCTTTCTACTTATTTCTAGGAACTACACCTATTTTAACTAAAATAAAGTCAACGTTGCTAGGTCAGCAAAAGATGAGGCTCCTAGTAAGGGTCTCTAGATTCATGATTTGCCTTATTTATAATGCTACCCATTTATTTGATAATTATCTATCTATAGGTATGAGTATCATACCTAGTTTAGTTTAGTATAATACTTAGTTTAGAATAAGAGTACTAGTTCTGGTTCCCTTTTGGCCCTGACTCACAGTATTTTCACTGACATCAGGAAAATAACGAAAATGATGAATAAAACTAACAAAACAAAACTCCTGAGTATAAGATATCATCTTCTTTCCAACCCTACCTGCACTGGGCACACAGTCCCTGTGGTTGCTTTAAAGCAGCACCAGTCATTCATATAGTGAGAAATATCAAGGGCTAGTAGCATCTACTTTGATAACTACGGAAGGCAGAGATATACTGCACCTTTGGTCCTCGAGCCTTGGTAGTTTTTCCCATCAACTTTTCATCATCAATTTCGCATTGCTCCAGAAGATCCAAAATATCTTCCTCCTTCAAAAAATATTCTAATTAAAATTACAATTACTAATGGACTCTAGAATTTTTCCAAGTTGATTTATCTCCACAAAATAATGCAGAGTAAGAATTCCTGAAATTATTTAGTGAAGATTGCTGAGATCAAAGGAGAAATATTAAAGAGTCATGGAAAATTCTCTTGAAACTTTCACTAAAATCTGGCATTACAATTAATGCATAGCCAAAATCTAGTCTGTATTCTCATAAACAAATGTATATTTATAGAATAGTATAGTATTAAAATTTTAGAGTATCATACTTCAATAAATTAGTGCACTGGACACTAAAATTTCTGAAAAGTTCATGCTAACTTCCAGATTACAAGTTTATCAGTCATTTCCATACAGATTAGTGCAAAATAATATTAAACCTCCAGACAGGAAACTGATTATTGGACTAATAGTTTCACTTAGAAACATTCTAATGTGAGAATTTGCTGACTGGGCACTATTTAATGAAATGCTTTCAAAATTTTACTGATTGCATAAAAGTATTTTTAGAACTTTAAAAGGTTTTCATTCTCTAGTCGTCAAAGGTGGCACAAAGCCACAAGTGCCCTAATACTTTTCTTGTGTTCTTCTAGGGTCATATTCTCAATCAAAAGGAAATTTTGTAAAAACATATACCCAGTGGATATTGAGCAAGCCAGAAAAATATGAGTATATTAGCTACACTGAAAGAGGTATAATCAACTGTATCACTGAGTTAAGAAAGTGTTCTAGAAAAGGTTTCTGAAGAAACTCAAAATCTCACTGTGCAGTAAAAATGTGTAAAATAAGTTACCCTTTGTCCCAATCTAAGAAAATTTAGCTATTGAAATACCAAAAGATTCCTATTATACATTTTTTATTAAATAATCATCCTACAAAGAATTCAGCAGATAGCATTACAATATAGTTAAAAAGAAACTCAAGGAGTTCTACTTCTGTTTAGGAGAAATATTACAGATAATACTTTTATCATAACAACCAGAAAAAGCCAGATAAGCTAAACAATCATATTTTCTAAAACACCAGAAAGCTGTAGGAAGTAATGTAAAAAAACTAAATTCCAAAGAGGAACAAGTTCTTCCTAGAGTAGAGATGAGTGGCCACTCTCTTCTTTGGGGTCATTTGTCAAGTCTGAACATTGGTAGGCAGAGATCAGGTCTAAAACAGAGCTGGTAGGACAAAAATAATCTTCTTGAAATCCTCCCTCTCACCACCCCGCTCAGAGACTATGTAGGGACAAAGAGATCTAGCCAGCTCCCAGATGTTCCAACTATCTTATCTGACACACCAGACATGTGAGTGCAGCTAACCTGGATTTCTAGCCCGATTTGGGCATTCAAATATATGCTACCATATGATTCACTCCAAGGAAGACGAGCAGAAGAACCACTCAACTGTGCCCAGCAAAGATTGCAGAGTAATGAGCAAATAAATGAAGTGGTTTGTCATGCTGTAATAGAAAACTGATGGACCTTTTACTAAGGTGTACAGATTAGACTGTGTGTGTGTTTGTGTGTGTGTGTGTGTGTGTTTCATTTACTTCCTCTCATATGCCAGACCTATCATATATCAAGAAAAAAATACTACATAATGTTTGTTATAATCAAAAAACAAGAATGCTACAAACCACTAGGTTAATTCCATGGGTTTCTTTATACAGTTACATACATACATCTATGTAATAAGACATGTTATTCTAGTGATATTACAACATAATTTGTCTTGGTACATACCTTATTTATGAAATAAGTTGGTTCATCATGAAATGTTACTAAGTGTTAAAATGAAAAGCTTGAGGAAAGCTTATCTTAAAAGTAAAATGTTTTTATATGTTGGAAAGGTGGCTTGTCGGCAAAGACATATTGTTTAGCTTTATTCTTTTTTCTCTAAATAAACATTAGCTTACCTTCATCCTTTTCAAAGGATTATTCAGCTCTCGCTGGAATGAAGCTGCTCTTCCTGAAAGGAAGGTCTGAAAGGCAACAGCTAACAAATTTTCATACTTTTCAAGTAGTGCTTTATCTTCAGGAGGATAAATTCGTCTGCAGCAAAATCAGATAAACCAATTTTTTAAAAAAGAAGCTGTCATAGCTCAATAGTTAAGATAAACTACACAGACTATCCTCGACCTCCTATTCTATACTAGTCACGTTGCCAGGTATAAGCTTTTCTATACTGATTAGTGTAAAATAATATTAAATATTAAACCTCCAGACAGAAAACTGATAATTGGCCTAATAGTTTCACTTAGTAACTATCTAATGTGAGTATTTGCTGAGTGGACACTATGAAGAGTATTTTTAGAACTTTATGAAGGTTTTCATTCTATAATCATTAATAGTGGCACAAATCCACAAGTAAAGTTTATCTAGAGAATTAGCATTAAACAATACAGTTCTAGAAGGTACAGTATAAGGGTTTAGTTTGGGGGACATGGTCGGAGAAGAATGGTGACTGGGCAAATTGAAGAAATATTGAACTTTATAGGACAGTGTTCAGATAATAAGGGATACTGCAGAAGTTTTATTCTTAGTGTGGTTACTGAAGCATACAAAAATGTAGGCATTGGTTCTGATTATCTCTTTTGTAGTGATAAAATTTGCCTCTCCAGCAGAGAGGAGTGGGTAGAGGTAGAGTGGGTGGGTGTTCTCATTACTACTATTGATGGTGTTAAGGCCATGAAAGAACGTCTTACCATGAGTGCAAGAACGCCCTCACACATTCCTTTAACCTGCTCAGGCAATGTCAAATGTTGGAAAGTGGGCAATCTTTCCAAGAACACAATGAGTTGGGTTGGGGGGAGGGGGTTGATCCTGTCAAGGGTGATATTATAGAAGAGTTCCAGCTTAGCATAGCCCACAGCCCTCTCCACTGTCTCATATCTAACTTCTTCAAACATTTTCATTATTTGCCTGGTTCCTGAAAAAGTACAGTAAACACTATGGATTGGCAGGAATAATATCAAGATACCTGAATTCTGACGTTTTTTAAAACACTTCACTATAACTAAAGTCACAGGATAACAGCAGGTTAAAAAGACCTCCTACAACCACCCAGAGGCTGGCCAGCGGGAGTGCTGTCAAGGCTGAACCATCTCCTTGCTGACTACCTTTTATTCTTGAAAAATAGTAAGCAAAAAGCACCTGACTGGAATGAAAGAACAATGCTTAAAATAAGCACACAAGATTAAAACATGAAGAATCATTGCTGTGATACTTCATTTTTTCAATCTATACAAAAATAGCAGCACAGTTACCTATAGTTCCCCATATGTCGATTTTCATGTTCTTCTCGTGAGATCTGCTTTCGTACTTGAGCAAGTCTCTCTTTCTGGAAAAGAGAAAAATTTTACAAATAAAAACTGACAAGTGAATCACGCAATTTAAATTGTGGGTACTTTCTTAAAACTTTCATACCAACTCTTCTTTCCGCCTCTCCAACTGGTGTCTTTGCTGTTCCCAGTCTGAGGAGCCTGGTAAGAGCCTTTTAATTGAATTTTGACCATAGAGCCTCCTTTGAGCCTCAGCTTTTTGTTTGGCCAAGTTTCTCCTTTTGTCGCTAGTCCTAAAACATAAAATATAAGTCTATATTCTAGAATTCAAACAAGTTCTGATCTTATCCCTGTGAGGAGAATTTGCAGAACAGGAAACATAGCGAAGCTACAAACCAATGCTTATTAAATTTACATATTCACTTAACATTATATTCATCTAACCTTATCTCAAATATGGCACTCTGGTAATAGATATGGTAAACAGAAGTTCTGAAGATAAAGAGACATAATGGTAACAGTGCATGTTTTAGAAGATCAGAGAGACCTAGTTTCACATTTCACCCCAATAATTTACCAATATACAAACTTGGACTGGTCAATTAACTGGCTAGTTTGGAGATTGGTTCCCCATATAAAATGTTAGCAATAATGTTTCCTCCTTGAGTTCTTATAAATTAATCTTATAAAGATTAATTTGTGGTAACATTAACAGGTACTTAATAAGCAAAGCTTCTCCTCTTCTTCAACCAATTCCATTTATACTGACCACTCTTTAATACGTTTTCATTTCTGACCGAAATCCAAGCCTAACAATCATTACTTATCAGAAAACATCTACAAAGTCCTTCCCATTTTTTTACTCAATTATAAAAACGTACTTATAACACTCTGATTTTCAAAGAAAAGTCCTGTTGTGGGATTATTTCCTCTAAACCATTTTCTCTCTCTTCTCTGCCATGTAGCTAGTGAATACAAGCCTGAGGATTTTTCTCCCCAACCCCTCCAACTTAAACTCTACCATACCATGGCTGAAAGACCTAGAAGGAAGAGGGTGTACTTCAAGAAAAAAGGAAAAGTGAGGCCAATTCTGACCTCACCTTTAGGGAAAAACAAAACAAAACAAAACAAAACAAAACAACGAGTTCTATTCTTAAGTTTGTATTTCCATGCTTCTATTGTCATTAGGCTGGTAGGGCCCAGATAAGAGTGTAAACCAAAGGAAAGGAGACAAGAAGTCCATTTGCTAGCTTCTAGTGCAGAGGTAACAGAAGTGCTTACATTTACATACTGCTTCACTTAATTCATAAGAAGATTGCATTAAGAATATATGTCCAGGTTGATCCAAGATGGCCGTTTAAGAACAGCTCAGGATTGCAGCTCCCAGTGAAAGCGCAGACGGTGAGCGGACGCCGCGTTTTTATTGCCCACAGACTAGGAAACTCGCGGGCAGAGGTGCTCCAGGGTCGCCAGCACGGCTGTTTCGGCCAGCGCGGCTGTGCCAGCCGGCACCGCTGCTTTGCCCTGCACGGCTGCTTTGTCGGCGCCCCGGAGCCGCGGTTCTCCGTACAAAATACACCGGTCCGGGGGCCCTTTAGGCTGGCGATTGGAGCCACGGGAAGT